GTACCTTCCTCGCGGCGCACCCAGCAAGGGCAAGAGCGACTGGCAAACAGAACCACCGAAACAGCGTCTCTCATTGCTCGAGCCCCAAGCCCACGAGCACACCGCAAGACGTGATCCACTGCATCGATAGCGTCTATCTACGCCATCTCGGCCAGTCGTTCGTAGCGTCCCAGTAGTTACCAACGGCGGCTATGCGCCTGCGCGCTGCTACTGGCCAGTCCCATCGCGGCCACCGCAGCCCTTCAGCCACGCACACTCGCTCTAAATATACCCACCACCACCTGTTCACCAGCTCCAGCGACTCCTCTGCAAAGGCATTGGTGTGCGGCCGCCTCTTCTCCGCAACGATGGACAGCGTGGCATGCGCATGAATGGATCCAAGCCCGGCACACTCCATCTCAAATCACTCACCTGTCTGTCAGCAGTCAGCTTCCAAATGTCCGCATCTCCCACGCGCAATCTGCAATGCATGTCGTGCGGGAGGAGCATGCTTGTTGGCGTGTGCCGACCCCGGACCTGGCTGCTGTCACGCTCCCACTGCAGATCCAGCGAGATGCTCGGTGCCTTGGGGCGGCCTCGCAATCGAGTCCCTTTTTTCCACCTTTTTTACACGCGTCGGCTTCCGCGGTCTTTCAATCGACTCGTGCCACTGCGCGTGCAGCCCCTTCTTCGCTGTCGCCTGCCGTTTCGTCCCGGGTCTACCCTGCTGTCTCGCTCTGAAACTGTCGCTCCGTCTCAACCACCGCAGCCCGTGCGTCGCTCCCTCATCTCGCTAGACTCTCCCTGCAGCAACGCCTGCCAAGCCAGACTTGAAAGCGTGAAACATGCTCTCGTTATCGTCACCTAGCGTTTGGGCCCCCGAAGCTGTGGGATGCGGAAGGCGCGCTGTCAGGGCGATGCTTGAACGCTGATCTCCATTCGCGTGTGGGGACGACGCCCCTTCGTATGGAGAAGTCTGAAGACAACTCACAGGTATGTATCATCGTCCAAGCAAGCTCACCAGTCGCGCCGCTTCCGCCTGCTGTACATCGTTAGACTCGCTTGCCCTTCGCGAGACTATCGAATCTAGCACCGAGGCCATTCGGAATGAACCCGGCTACCGGTATCGTATTGGCAGCCGTTCGGTCAGAGCCGCCGTCTTTAGCGGGCAGTATGACTGCTTACGTCCGAACCGGCCGATTGCCCTTCGAAAAGAACCTCATCAGAACGCTTTCGTTCTGGACCGGAAGCCAGCGGCAACGATTAGTGGGGCGCATGAGCCCGTTCGGGAGCGCAGAAAAAAGGCAGGAGTGAGGCGCAGGACTAGACACGACAAGGCAACACGAGTTTTATATGCCTCGAGGTTGGAAGGCTTGACATGTCCAACAGAACGGTGCATCGCAAAGTCAGCATCGTCACACGTCTTATCCAGACGAGTTCCCTCACCAGACAGACAGCTACTGCACCATCAGCACTTGAGCACGCGCTTGCGCAGCTCTGTTTCACGAACACGATCCTCGAGGCCGTTGGAAATAGTGTGCCTCTGGCGCCGCAAGGCTGCATGTTTCGAAATTTCCAAAGCTTCTCGCCCACACATCGCGTACACCTCCAATCTTTGCCTTGGCTCACCAGTGCGATGTCATCCTCCCACTGGATCGATGCTATTAGACATCGTCCATGGTATACATACTACTCTGGACCCTCCATTTCCTTCTCAGTACCACGGGGTGAGAGACAAAGCAGCTGAGAAAGTCAGCTCTATCACGTTGTCCGCGCTCAGCGCAGTCACGAGGTCGTAGACTGATGGGGTGTTCCAAAAGGTCTGGCCTCTTCCATGTAATGGTAAGGAGTGCGCATCAATATGAAAGAGTTGACATGTCGTCAGCGCAATACAGTGTAAGTTCTTCAGTTCATCTGTCGCTGACGGATAATTTGGAAAACCGACGCCGTTTGACTGATCATGTTCCCGTACTATTTGGAACGTGTTAAACATGAGGAACGACGCTGTTGCTTGAATCCGCACAGCCAATCGTCCAGTCGCATCTAGGAATCATCCTGTCACTTCTACCAACCGTCCAGTCGCATCTAAGAGGTCTTTGCGAGACCCACTAGTAGTGTTTTCGCATGTTTGACACTTGGCATGAGACTCGGCACGAAACATCTGACACCACATGTTCATATAGCTCTTTTTAACCAGACTTTTCTCAAGCGTCGCGAACATCAGGCAAACTGTTTCGATCAGCGCCGTCGCCCGTTTTCCGATGTCTGCGGCAGCGTTAGTAACGGAGCGATGGAGACTCTTAGGCACGCGAGAGAGGAGTATATAGTCACCCTCGACGCTGCGCATCTTCTAATAACCAGATCTGCAGCGCATTTCCCATCTTCTACTACCTTTCTACTACCATCGATATCTTGTACAGCATCCTTCTTAATATTCACTAATACTCTTAATTGTCATCCTGACATTTCGACTTAATCCAAATCATCTCAGCCTAATACAAATCATCATGCTTTTCTCGAACATCGCAATTGCGGCTTTGGCCCAGAGCTTGACTGCCTCCGCTGCCACCATGATGGTCACGGTCGCTGCCAACAACAAGTTCCAGTTTACGCCTAACTCTATTGTTGCCCAACCCGGTGACATGGTCGCTTTCAACTTTGTCAGCCAGGTACGCAACTGCTTCCATCACTTCACCACTACTCCAACAGATACTGACTCTATCCTCACAGAACCACAGTGTCGCCTCCTCCGACGCAAACAGCCCCTGCCAGCCCCAGGCGAACGCCATCTTCTCCGACTTCCAGCCCATCCCCGGCAACCCCAACGGTTCCCCAGGTGCAGGTGGCGCTGGTGGTGCTGGCAATGCCGCTGGAGCTGCTGCTGCCGCTAACGGTAACGGTAAAGGCAACGGTCGCAACCGCAACAACAACCGCCAAGCTGGAAACACACCCATGTTCATGGTCCCCGTCGTCGACAACCAGCCCATGTACATCTACTGCTCGCAAGCCCAACATTGCCAACAGGGCATGGTCATGGTCATCAACCCGCCCAACGCTCAGGCTGTAACTCAGTACCAGAACCTCGCTGCTCAGGCAAACAACAACGTTTCTCCCCAGGGTGGCATCAGCGGTGGACAGGTCGTTAACAACCTTGCTGGAACTACTCCCAAGAGCGTCCTCGGTGGTACGGCTGGTGATGCGGCAACGGCAGCGAAGGCGGCTACGAACGGCAATGGCAAGGGCAAGGGTGGCGGTGCTGCTGCTGGTGGTCTTGCTGGATTCCTTGCGGGCCTTGGCAAGAACAACGTCGTCGTTGAGACCAACTCCAAGAAACTCTTCGGCTTCCCCGGTGCTGGTGCTCTTGGTGGTGCTGGCGCTCTCGGTGGTGGTGGTGCGGCCGCGGCCCTTGCTGGAGCTGGAGGTGCTGGAGGTGCTGGCGCCGCTGCAGGCGGTGGTGGTGCTGGTGCCATTGCTAAGAGCGGACTCAAGGGTTTCCTCAACGGACTTGCTCAGGGCGCCAACTAAGCATGCGCATAAATAGAATAGATATATTTGGTTGAGCAGGAGGTCGTGGGTATGTGGTTGGAGCTGTATGGGACAAGCACGACGATATCGATGGAAGTAAAAAGATGCTGGTCATTGAAATGTAAATAGTAGTAATATATGTCTTATAAACTTATCCGAATGACTTCCCTGCATTTCGGTGAGCGCGTTGTGGGAAGATGGGTTGGTAGCGGTGACGTCACTCTCATACACTCAACTAGCTATTGTTCAGCGATGCTCCTTCACCCACATACAACACAACAGACGGAGTATGAGATGCATATTTTTGGCTTACCTGTGACGTTCGGAAAGTGTTACCTGATCGATACCGCCATACGTCGTTACTAACAGGACATATGTCATCACTACCCAAAGCGAGCAGCAAAGTGAGAGTAACTACACACTGCATCCAGAACAATAGCATGAAGCCGAAATATTCGCCGTTTCTTTGTCCAGCACAGCTTCACTTGCTATGTTCCTCGCGACGGTACAATGGTAAGCCACAACAATGGTAAGCAGGTAGACAGCTGGCAGCTCACTGTCCATGCGTCCACATATACCTTGATATCTACTTCTTCCAACCTCCTGACACGACTCCTACTCCTCTCACATTTTGCTTCCCGATTCCACATTGCAACAGAATCGACGTTCTACATACAAGCATCTCCTTCAAGCACTACCAACCACAACATCGACACCAAAGTCCACAACCCACACCTATCAAACACAACAACAACACTATGCTGGAAACCATCTCACAGCTGCTGGCCCAGCTCTTTGCCTTCCACCTCCTAACCAAGACCATCATTCCCACTTTCGACTTCCCCATCCTCAGCATCTCTATATTCGTCAACGACACTGCACGGCCCCCATCTTCTCTTCCATCCACACAGGCCCGATTCCAGCACAAGCCACACGGCATCAGCAGCAGCAAGCAACGGACGCCAAAGACGAAGAAGTCAAGGTGTAACATTACGCCCAAGATCAACGAGATATCGTCTCCTGGTCTTCAGTGTGCGACTATGTGAGGAAGAGTTGAGAGAGAGAGAGACTGGAGAGTGTTGAGCGCTGGTTCGCTGACATTTTGTCGCACATGGTATGTTGATTGCAAAGCCCACTTTTTGGGTACCTTTGACTGATCTTGATGGCAGATTTGCAGCATTGAGCATCAATCAGCTTTTGATATAAATCGGTCAAGGGGTGGCAACATGCGGGTTGTCACGCTTACATTATACGGAGGGTTGATAGAGGTCTTTGCGATCCTTTTTTCCTTTTTTTCTTTTCGACGGGATCGAGGCTTCACATTGCTTGTATTTCACCATCGTATCATACGGAGCAAACTTAGAGTACTTTTTGTATAATTCCAACAGTGTCCTAGAACTCGAAATCTACCATTGGTCTCTATATGCAAGCACTGTATGGAATCTATGTACTGGAGCACGTCTCCCTTATCATGTACTCGTGTGGCTTCATCGCACTCAACGACGCTTGCCAAGCATCTCCACACCCAAGCCATCCTTGCCTTCCTCACGTGTAATCTGCTCGGCAGCCTTGACGACATCGTATGTGATGTCGTCTCCAACAACGCTATCCTTCTTGTAGTTTGGATGCGTCTGAACGAAATGCCTGATCCACTTGGCCGCAGTCCAGTATGTACCATTGGCGCGTTTGCGGATCAAGTCCAGGTACGTGGCGAGATCGCATCGTGTTTCAACATCGACATTCATGCTGTTGAGGTAGGATTCCACAAGCGGGATGAGACCCGGGAAGCCATTACCATCGGAAGTAGTCTTTCCGTTGATGACTTCATTGATAGTCATCTGCTCGTACTCGTCTTCCACTGGGCCGGTGGGCGTCGCTGGGCGACTGGCATTTCCAGCTGGTGTAGATGTACCCGTTCCGCCCGACTTGTGTGTCGAGAAAGGGTCCTTTCGGAACCAGAATTTCTGCGTCGATACAGCGTCGCGAATGTGCGCCGTTTCCATGTTCTCGCTCACTAGCGTGATGGGAATGTAGAAGTTGAGGTTGAATGAGAGGATAGCACGGGTCAGTAGCACAATGAAGATCGAAAATGCAGCATTTTCGAAATCTGTGATTTGGATCTCCATGGGCCGGAACTCGACGCGCCAGCCCATGTCGGAGCCAGCTGGCGGTGGCTTGAAGCGCATGTGCTGCCAATTGGTCGACTGCAGGTTTTCAAAGTGGTCGGCCTTGGTAAGGTCCAGCTCTTGAAGATCTTCGGCAAAAACGACAATGGGATCGCGGATGAACAGGTGAGCAAAGTGTGTCGCTAGTAGATCGTCCATACCACCCTCGACTAGCCGTTGCTTGATGTCGCTGTCAATAATGAGATCCGGGTCGAGATACTCAGGGCGTAGGCGAGGATCTTGGGAGATATAGGTTGAGTTTGATGCGTAGCGAGATTTGGGTAGTCGCCATCGGTCGTTCTTGAGCGACTATGACGTGTCAGCGGATTCGTGATACTCAACAAGCACATGACTTACCTTCTCCCCAAGTTCTTCGGGCGTACGATCATCGACTGCCCTGCTAATCTGGTTCCACCGCACATCGGTGTCGGCCAGGAAGCCCTTGTAGATGGGGGTCGCCGCCGTCAATGCTAGCAGGATAGGTGCTATCGGGCTGAGCTGGTCGTACATCTTCCTTCCCTCTTCAATGTTCTTTGCTTGGAAAGTGATCTGCAGACAGCAGCTTCCCATGCCAAAAGCCATGGCATCCATGTGGATGTAGTTGTCCTTGGCAGCACCATTGCGCACGTCGTCATCTTCAGGCCAGTTATGCATGTCATAGTTGACTGTAGGATCCTTCCACGGCCATGGCGTGTTCTCGTCCTTGAACACAGGGACGTTTACTTCGACCTTCCGGCCCCTTCGCCAACGAATGTTTGCTGCAAGTGTGGGAAAGCGAATGTGTGGATTGGCAATTTCGTCCGGAACAAACTGGGAGCGCAGCTTGGGTCCTGAAACAGGATATGATGGTACGATACAATCGGCCGATCCAAGACGAGGGAACGTCGTTAATGTGATTGGAAACTCGGTCTGTGCCATGTGATCCTTCGCTATGGTTCGTCTGCAAGAAAGGTGAGCAATCACTTCATCGACGATGGGGTGGTGTGATCTACCTCCATTTCATGTTTGGTTCAACGTCAAGCAGGTCCTTGAAGCCAATGCCCCAGGGCTTCCCAGGAGTTGCTTCGAGCATGAATCTGCCGAACTCAGGATGGAACACCGGCGCCGGGTTTTCCTTCGCGCTGCCATGGTCAGTACAAGACGTACAAATCTGGACAGTCAGGCTCACTCGGCGTCTCCGGTTTGCAAGTCAGGTACTCCGCCGCCCTGCTGCAGAAGCTTTTCATCGTTGGCCAGCGCAGCCAGGATATCGGCCTGGCGGAGCGATAGTCGGACCTTGCGGTTGTCCTGGTCATAGCAAACAACCAAGTACTCGATCTGGACGGCAGTCAGTCGCCGACGCTGCAACGGACGAGCGGATGGTAATCCTTCACCTCATCTCCCCAAAGAAGGGCATCCCTCTCCTTGCCTTTAGCATTGCGCCAGATAGCGAGTAATTGCTGTCAATCACATCAGTACGTAGTCCTCCGGGGTCTTGTCACCGAGCGTACTTCAATTCCCCATGATCTGACCTGGCCAGCAACTTTCTTGGCCTCTGGCCAGTCAAGAGGCGTTCCAAGGGCACTTGATATGGCATTAGCGAGGGCGGCGCGCAAAGTAGCACGGATCTCACAGCAGACCCATCCCCAAGTTCTGTAAGGCGTTGCGGTAGGCAGTCCAATGCGGGTTGGTGCACGGGCGGGCCGAGCAGACGTGTGAATGGGTGGCTTCTCGTCTTGAACGGCGATTGCGGGGAGGTGTTCGGGGAGCACTGCAGATTATAGGACGTTTAGCGGGGTTTGATGCAACGCAGGGCTTTTGCAGTTTTGGACGCGCTGCAGACGCCTCGGTTTCCTGCGTTATCAAGGGATCGTCGGATGGCGGGCGATTGAAGGAATGGCAATTTCTACGCGCTCCGCTGGCATCGACGGGCAATTTGCAGAGCTAGAGTCGGGTGTATGGATTATTAATGCGCGATGCAGTAAGCAATTCCTGTGGCCCCTTCCGAGGAGGAAAGCCCCGCCGATGACGCTTGCCTCTTTGGTCAGCTGGTCACGACATCAACTCATTGTGACACTTCAAGGTTCTGCTGTGCGCGCATTCCATCTTTCTTTGCGCAACATGGTTGGGCATCCTGACAGCGAGCCCGCATGTGCAAATGCGCACGGCGTAGTCTCCTGCTGTTCACAATGCGCCTCGCCTACCGCTGTCTTCAACCACGTGCACGCATGTCGCTACGCCGCGCGAAGCCTCCTACTGACGCGAGACCACGCCGCGTACCTAGGTTCAGAATCCCGATAATGTACGTTGCGAAAGGGTCCCCTTGGATACCATTGTCGCGGGCCGCGGGCTCCGGTGGCATGATACCGACCGCGCCGCAAGTATTGGCACCAAAAGCGTCGACGACATGTCTCTTCTTCGCTCTACCAAGCCGGCTCATTTCTAGGGCGGTGGTGTTGTCTGAGCTAAGCAACCGCCACTGCGGTACTGCACGACCAGGATCGGCTGCTGCTAGGCGTGCCGCACACTTTGCATCGTCGAGGTGCACATCGCCTTGCATACTGGGGGCACCAGAACGCAAGGTTATCGTGTCCTCGCTACTCTGGGCCTTATGCAGCTACTTGGGTTGCAAGGTGCGACCCCGATGAGTTGTTATTTGACAGATGATACAATATGCGGGCAGCCTGTTTATATTGGGACGAGCCTGCGTCAGTCGTGGGCTGTGGTGCGAGCACTGCGGCACCCTTCTTCATACACTCGAGGAGCAGCGGCTATCATACGGCTGTGATGTGCAAAGTGAAACAGGATTTAAGGTATTAACTTCTAGATTCAATAACTTCTACGTCGCTGGGCCTGAAAGCCGGTGGTATCTCTTTGTAAACGCCTGTCAAAATCCCCAAAGACTCGCACACTTCTAGTAAAGCGTGTCGCGCAAGAATGCCTAGAAGAACAGTAATCGTGAGATGGTAAGCGCTTGTTTCGGCGCACCGAAACGCCCAACCTATGATCGAGCCATCCTAGCAGATGGTGATATACAGAGAACGCCTTCAGTCAGTCTGCGGGTCTGGAAACCCTTGTGTATGTGCCAAAATGCAACTACTACTACTAAAAGACAAGCAAGAAATAGACCGTAGTATACGTGAAGCCCTAGTGCCGAGCGTGGCATGATGTTCTGGATCCGTTGTGGGCAACATCGGTGTGTTGACACGGAGGCACCGGTTCTCCCGGTTCGCCGTCTCCTCCAGAGTCGACCAAGCCGTCTGCAAATGACGTCCCTAAGAATGGTATATGGGCCCGCCGAAAATGTGGATGATACAGGGTCATGGTCTCTAGTAAGACCCGCCAGTAGGCATGGGCCCTCTTTGTAAATGCAAACAGTATCTGCGCCAACACTCCTATGTAGTGAAGATGATGGAGACGTGTGATGGTGGTAACAAGCCCCAGAAAGATGTCGAAGCAAATATGTACGGCTCCAAGGGCGATATGTCGGGTTAGAAAATTACTGTGGTCGATAATCACATCGTGGGTGAACCGTGGTCAATGGATTTGGGTCGTAGGTTTGAGCTGGTCATGGCTTGCTTGCCACCCATTTTGCGGGTGAGCTTTGCATAGTCTGAAAGCCACGTTAGTCTGGGAACACATATACTATTGTGGATTGACAACTTACGTAGACCGCAAGCATTGCACAAGGTCCTGGCGCCATCTGGCCCTCTTCGCCACTCAGGGGTCTCGGCTCTATTGCAGCTATGGCATCGACCTGGCGGCGCAGCTCGCTGTCAGGTGTGTCAGTAAGAGTAGTCAGTTGGTGGGGTGTGGATCACTTACGCCTCGTTTCCGAGTCTTGTTGTCGCCACCAGCAAAGCCGCCCATGCCTTTATTGTCGTCACCGTAGTTGCTTGCATTGTCATCGTAGCCATTCATCGGTCTATACCGTGGATCCTGAGGAGGCTCCACGATGCTCGCCTGTTGATGATTGAAAACGACGTCTCGCATTCGCTGGAGGGACATCTGAATCCTTTCGCTTTGCTTAAGCATATCGTCGACCTCTTCTAGCCGGGGCATTGACTGTGGTGTCATGCCAATGCGTTGGTTCTCATGCGCGCGCTGTCTGTAGATCTTCGAAAACTCTGCAATGCGTCCGGACCCGTCGGCCATCTCGTTAAGGGAAGCCTCAAGATCGAAACTCTCCAGATGGCGCTTGACTGACTCGCCGTATGGAGCTAGACTTGATCGACCGATCTTCTTCTCTTCCAGGCGAGCCATTTCGGAGTTGTCCTGCCACGATTGTGGGGGATAACGGGGTGGGGCAGAGTAGGTCGAGCTTGCCGGTGGGTAGGCAGAGTTAGGAGCACTTGCTGAGGGGGCCGATGAAGGATAGCCAGGGGGATACTGCGCGTACGGGTAATGATGGTTCATGGGTCCCGTTGATGGAGGAGCAGGGCTCTCGTAGGTGGCTGGTGGTGGCGGATATGATGGATATGAGACGCTGGGGCGAGTTGTGCTCGGTGGCGGAGATTGTGCAGTCTTCAGTGGGTGAAGTGCAGGTAGTTTTGAGTTGTGTTGAGGGGTAGAATACGGCGGCCGTGGATCTGAGAAGGGCGGACGAGGCAGGGCTTCTGACTGAACCTGAGGCGGTTGTCGGGAGACTGTGGGTGATGCCGGGGCCCCGACAAATGGACTTCTTGGGTATGTGAATGGGTTGGAGGGTCCTTGGCTGGCGTGCTGGAGGTCAGATGGAAAGTGTCGTGGCCGTGGCTCGGCGGGAGAAGCAGCAGCAGACTGGGGATGATAATGCTGAGGAGCTGAAGTGATGGCTGAAGGTGGAGGCACTGTAGCCGGGAATGGCAGCGGCTGTTCCGAACCTAGAGCTTCATGTATCGATGGCAGGGATTGCCGGGCCGTTGGTCGTTGCGACTCTTTCTCGTCGCCAGAGGTCCTGCGTGAGTCGGGAGGAGACAGTAGGCCTCCAAGCGAGCCGGGTACTGCGCTGGCGACTGACGATTGGTGATTGCTGTGCAAATGCGGCGGCCCCGCGTAGGGGTGCAACGGGCTGGGCATGGTAGCAGCAGCGGCGGCAGAGTGTTTTCTCTGATACTCGACCTCTTCGCGCTTTACTCTATCGGCGTCCATGTGGTTGATTGACGGCAGACCAATGCTACAGCGGACAGTCAGCACCCGTATGGCGGGAAGGGAGCGGGGGGTCAAACAACATACCTTTGCCTGTTGCCGGCATCTATGGTTTCCATGGTGGGTCCTGTGTCGGACGGGTCGTGGTGGTGGGATGCGACAGCGAACTGCTGCGGCAACGCGATGGCGGGGAATCGTGGGTGCCGCGACGTTGATGTACCTTCCCGCACAACGTCGACCAGCACGGAGCCCTGAGGTCGTTCCTTCCCGCACAACGTCAATCGCCACGAAGCGTCTCACTTTGCTCTTTCCTCCGCAAGCGTGGCCAAGCAATTCAGTCCGATTCTTCCAAGCCCCACAGTGATGTTGCAATTGCAGCCAAAAGCCGGATTTCAGCAGTGGCGACGTCCGGATCTCTTTTTCTTCAACGAATGGATCGGTAGGCAGGCAGAATACCGGGTGTTGTTGATGTTGTTGTCGCTGCCGCTCTTTCTCTTGTCGATGCTGTGGCTGACGTAGTGTCGCGGGCACGACGGCCGTGGCAGGATCGCTTGCGTCGATACACACTCAATACCGCACTATGTGTCCGTCTCTTGCTGTGCGTCGCTCTTGGTGCTCCGAGGCGGCGTTGGTGTGTTGGATGATGTGGAAAAGAGATGGGTAGGTGTGACATGGGCGGAGGAGCGGCGATCAGACAAAACCCGTGATCTCACAGCACACTACGCGGAATTCAGCGCCTCCTCTATGCCTGCAGGCATGGTGTGAGAGGAGACGAGGGCTAAGACAACCGCAGCGGGCTAAAGCAGATGCGATCGGAGATGAACCGCTCCGGCAGCAAGTAGTCGCTCAGTGTGACGAGGATGTGCAGCGCGCGGACTAGGATGCTCTGGATACGGCACGTCTGTTTGCCCCAGCAAGGATGTGGGTGGAGAGGGCGGTCGCTGGGTGTTCTTGATGCAACACTCGAGCGCTCCAGCGGGCTCCTAAAGCGTCCACCCAAAGGGCAAGGATATGCGACACGCCACGCCCGCCCTTGCGACGCTTGCCCGATCAGATCGCGCAGCCCCCTAAAAGCAGCAAGTCTGATTTTTCAAGGCGCCATGGCGATGCTGCATGACGGGCCCACGTCCGTTGGGCGGTGGCGGCTTGGGCGTGGGCTGGCTCGTCGCCATTTCTTCTGCTCGATCCGCAGCCGTTACGACCAGGGACATCAATCGCGACCGCCATCCGCGCGAATGGGCACCCCGCGCACACGAGGTGAGATGCGCCCATGCCCGAACAGGAACAGCCCGCCGCCATGGCACGAATTATCGTTGTGGCATGCAATCGAGATGCAACCGAGCTTCCATCATGCATCCACCCCGGCCTGCACCCACGCCTGTCCTGTCACTCCGTCCCTTGGCGCCCACAGCCAGCGAACTGTCACCCACCAGCGCCGACGCCTCGCACAGCACTTTGTCGGTACCGGAGCCCTCCACTGCTGTCACTTGCTCCCGCCGCGCGCCAGAAGTCATGTGTTGGGCACCAACCCTCCGCCGACGGTCTATCGCAACTTCCTGCCAGGCACTTAACCTGACACCACTTCGGGAATCTCCATCGCCCCAGGGGTGCCCGCGCATCTGAATCGGTGGCAGTGCGATTAGTGCAGCGGGGGTGCGGACGCCAGAAGCGCCCTCACAGAAAAAGGCACATGGTGCCGAAGAACCATCTCAGCTCGCCAGATCCCATCGGCCCGACAGGCTTCGATTCATGAACTTCCATCAGACGTCTGAGCCAGTCTTATCGCGTGCATTTGGCCTGTCTATCCATCAGCCCATTTCTTGCCATTGCTCTGTCCCACTTCTGCTTCGCAAGCAGGCACCTCTCGGTTACGTCAGTAGTCGCTAAACCCCCTCAACTATCTGCACTGGCTCCATCTTCCTCCGAACCATGCAACTCCAAGCGCTTGACCGTTGACGCCTACACGCGTTTAGTGTAACGCATGGAATCGCCTCCTGCACGACGGCATCGTGGTGCGTTCGCGTCTGTTAAACGTCTGTGCTATGACCAATGCGCTCCGGCGCTGTCAAGTCGATATAATCAGACCGTAACCGACCCAAAGATCGCTGGTACGCTATTAACAAGTCTCCGTAGCGATCCAGCTGTACCAGTGGGACCGTCAGCCATCTACGCTCGTCATCTCCTACTACTCACGCCTCGTACCCTGCGAACCTTGATGCAACCATAAGGGCCTCTCGGAATGTTCCTTACGCCGGCTGACGACGGTCTGAGTATATGCGCAAGCCGAGTGAAGTGACTGTCGGCGTCATCTTT